CCTCCCCTCCCAGGAGTGGCCCATTTTGGATACAGGTAAGTGCAGGGTGCACACGGAGGCTCGGGGAAGGTGAAAAATGGACCTACTGGAAGTTCGGGAGGCCTCCAGAGGGCCTACGGAGCCTGGGGAGGCCGTTTTTGCCATCCCGGAGGCTCGATGAAAGCCTCCAGAGCCTGGGGAGGGCAAAAATGCCCCCCCATGGTGCAGGAGGCTGACTAGGCCACACCACCATGGCCACGCCCACCCAGCAACCGGGCAGAGAACCCCTTGCTAAAATTATTGAAGCCCACCCCGGATGACATATTAGCAGTCTTCCAATATTTGAGGAGCTGTCACAGAGAAAGGGGTTTCGGGTTCTCAAGTGCTATTCTCCAAAGCACTTGAGGGCAGAACAAGAAGTAACGGATGGAAAATTATCAAAGAGAGATCCAGGCTAGAACTAAGGAAAAATGTCTTGACAGTGAGAACAATTAATCAGTGGAACGGATTGCCTTTGGAAGTTGTGGGTTGCTCCATCAACAGAGGCTTTTAAGAAGCAATTGGGACAGCCATTTGTCTGGAATAATATAGGGTCTCCTGCTTGAGCAAGGGGTTAGACTAGATTTACAGGGATGTCAAACTGGCGGCCCGTGGGCCAGATGCATCACACGCGAGCCACGCCTACCCCGGCTCCGTGAAGGGGAAAAAACATCACAATAGATCACGTGATGGCAACATGATACCACGAGTTTGACACCCATGGACTACATGATCCCCAAAGTCCCTTCCAACTCTGCTATTCTGTTATAGGAACTAGGAAGCAGTGTGAAAACTGCAAAAATTCGTGCCAGGAGTTCTTTCAGCCTGCCCCATAGAAACATGTTTTAGTAGTCAAGCTCAGATGTAACTTATACATGAATAACAAAATTCAGATTTGATCAGACTGAGTTGCAGGAAGATTAGCAACCTAAACTGTAATTCAGGAAAGCTTATATCTTTTAATAAAATACGTTATCCTGTAAAGTTGTTACCAAGCTCCCAATTTCCAGTCTAAATTCATATGATAATTGAATTCTTAATCTAACACAATGTCATGATAGGAGTACAAAATGTCATAAAAATCAAACACAATAATGGTGTACTACCTACTAAGCTTTTCTGAATTACTAGCAGCTTTGCATGCCAACACCCAGATAGGATTATTAAGAAGCTGTCTTTTTAATGGCTTTATTCCAGTGGTGCGTTTCAAATTTTTTTACTACCAGTTCTGTGGGTGTGGCTTGATGGGTGTGGCATGGTGGGCGTAGCAGGGAAGGATACTGTAAAATCTCCATTCCCTCCCCAATCCAGGGGAAAGTTACTGCAAAATCCCCATTTCCTTCCGATCAGCTGGGACTTGGGAGGCAGAGAATAGATGGGGGCGGGGCCAGTCAGAATTTTTACTACCGGTTCTCTGAACTACTCAAAATTTCTGCTACCGGTTCTCCAGAACTGGTCAGAACCTGCTGAAACCCACCTCTGCTTTATTCACACCTTAACCTGGTTACTGAATTAACCTTTTTTAAAATTATTAATTTACACAATGAAATGAATTGTATTCTTTCAGGTCTATGCAAGTTTTTTTTTTTTAAACCAAGGGCCACTCTTGATCTTTGAGGATTGAGCTGCAGATTGAACAAAACTTTTCTGAACCCTGGGTAGGATTAAGGAAAAATGACATCTGATGTCCCTTTGCTTCAATTTCGAAGTGTGTCAGTAGAATATTATTGCTTTAATTACTGTTCAGCGGAATCTTCCTAAGTATATGTAATTAATTGTATTTAATAATCCTTCTGTTCACACAAGAGCGGACAGTCAAGCAGCAGCTTTTGGACAGAGATGAGGAGGTGGCACATAAATTTTCGGGGGTCTCACAAAGTTCTGGGGTCAGTGGTTACCCTCAGGGGTGGGCTACTGGGAGTTCGCAGGGGTTTGGGAGAACCTCTAGCTAAGATTCTGTGCAGTTCAGAGAACCCTAAATCCCACTTCTGGATGGCCCCACCCACCCCTCCCCACACAGTCCATTTTGGATGCAGGTAAGTGCAGGGAGCGTGCGGAGGCTCGGGGAGGGCGAAAAATGGGCCTACCGGAAGTTCGGGAAGGCCGGAAATGGGCCCGTTTCTGGCCTCCAGAGAGCCTCTGGAGCCTGGGGAGGCTGTTTTCGCCCTCCCGGAGGCTTGAGAAAAGCCTCCAGAGTCCGGGGAGGGCAAAAACGCCCCCCCTGCCGTGGTGTAGGAGGCTGACTAGGCCACGCCCACCATGACCACGCCCACCCAGCAACCAGGCAGAGAAACCCCTTGCTAAAATTTTTGAAGCCCATCCCTGGTTTTCATAGTGCAGGGACTGGTGCCATTAACCTGACTCTTTCCTAGCTCTTTCCTGGCCCCCTTCTCCTCCTTTCTCTTTTCCTTTATCAGCCTGGCATTATACATTTCCCATCTCTTGGGCTCTGGGGTTTCTGCACCCAGTTCCAGACAAAGGGCTGAACCTGGGAGGTTTAACAAGAGACCCTTCCATTTGTGACGTTGCAAAAACCCCATCAGTGCATCGAATACTGGCTAATGACTGGTATATCTAGCTGTGGATCAGAAATACTTGAAAAACATTAGGGGACACATGCAGCTCGCTGGGAGTCAAACAGGCTTCTCAGAGAGCTGCCAGTGTCCCCTAATGTTTTTCAACTATTTATGGTCCATAAGTAGATTTACCAATCGCTGGCCAGTACTCGTGCACTTGTTGGAAGAAATATCCTTCTGGTTCAGTGCCAAGCCGGGAGAAAGACACTGGAAACATGGAGGCTGATTGGAAAGATGGTTTAATGATGAAGCAGACCCACCAAGCACATGGTTCTGGTGCAGCTGATCACATGGAGTTGAGAGTGGGGGGTATTTATACCTTCTCTTGGGCTTTGCACTTGAACTTCCTGTTCCTGTGCAAGAACGTGTATTCTATTGGTTGTTGTCAGACTCCCATGGGGCCATGTACAAACCCTAGGAGTTTGTCTGAGCTACAGTTTGGTTGAAATTTGACAGATGCAACGAAGAGTCTTCTTGGGCAATTCCTATTGTGCCTGAGGGCTAATTCTACCTTTGTTGGATCTTGAGTGAGGGTATTTGCTTATGAATAGAGCTATCTATCTCTTTATCTCTTTAAGTGCTGACATCTGCTGAGGGCTATTAAGAAAGGTGGGGGCTGCTTTCCAAGAGCACGTTTCCCCATTTCTCATCCAGGGAAATATAATCTTCTGCCTTTTTAAAATATTTCTCAAAATATTTCATTCTTCTAGGAGGGGAGTGGGTGCTGACTTTCTACACACTGATTGGTGGTGGTTGTTGTTGTTTTTGCAATGTCAGAAATGAAAAGGTCTCCTGTTAAGGTTCAGAGTCCTGATATTTCATTTCATTTCATTTCATTTATTAGATTTCTATACCGCCCTACTCCCGAAGGACTCAGGGCGGTGCACAGCCAAACAATAAAAACACATACAATACAAAATTTAAAAAATAGAATAAAATCAAATTAAATAATTTTGGCCCCGACAAATTTAAAACCCCTGATAAAAGGCAGGATCGCGCCCACATTCCCGTCTTCTAGCTTTGCTAACAGCTGTAGGATTATGTGGTGGAGTTTCAGGAGAAGAGTTTTTCTCACTTTGGAAGCTTCCAAAGGTGTTTTGGAGTCCAACTCCCTTCACAGTTGTGCCACTTGGGGATGGTGCTAAGAATTGCCGGCTGGCGAAGGGAGGCGTCGGAATCCAAGAACAACTCCGGCGTAGTGTTGCCAGGTGTCCACTGTTTGAGCGGACAGTCCGCTTTTTTCACATTATGTTCACTATTTTTTTTTTTCACAAAATAGTGGACATTTTTTTTATTCAAAAGCTTTATGATGAAATTAAAATGTAATTTAATATTTTACATATTATTATAATATATTTGATGTTTTGAATTTTAAGTAAAGTTTTGAAGTGATTATTTTAATACGTGTTAAAATGTTTGTAAGAAAATATATAATTTAATTGTAAAAAAAATTTTTTTTCTTACTACTTAACCACCACCCCCACCCCCACCCGCGCTTGTCCGCTATTTTTTGGAAGCAGAACCTGCCAACCCTACAAGTCCGGCGGGCGCTCAGGTGGAGAAGCCGGGCGAGCGTCTCAAACGCTTCCTCTGCCGGCGCCAGGAGTGGGCGGGGCGCAACGAGAGCCACGCCCCAAATCCAAGCCGCTCCCTGTTGTGTACAGGTGTTGGGGCGGCAACAAAACTCCTCCTCTCTTTTTCAATCTCTTCCCCCCCCCACCTCCTCCGGATTAGGAGAGCAGGTGCATGGCGCCCACTACAAAACAGCATCCGGACTGGTCCGCGTGGAAGGTGGCACTCTGGGTATGCTCAGATACTACCCCTCACCATTCCCCCCCCCACCAGTCATAGATGATACCATTCCTGCCTCAAAATTATTATTTGTATCATCGATCATCGTTGTGGCTGTTACTACCGGTATTACTATTATTTCCTATTTTAGTACTGGGGTTTCCCTTCTGTTCCTCCCCTTCCCCCTCTCCACGGGCTCGTAATCCTGCATTTGTGTTATTTTTCTACGATAGCTCGCCATCCTACGCAAGGCTCCTTCTCTATGGAAACCAAAGCAAAGTCATACGGGCAAAGGCATGCAACGCACACACACACACACACACACACACACAACAGAGACGTAGCTCTCCACCATCACTACTACCTCCCCCTCCCCCTCTGCACCCCCCACAAATCAATCCGAGCCCCCCTCCCCTTCGCCCCTTTGTGCTGAACCCTGCAGCAGCTGGAGGAAAGACTGACATGCACACACACATACACATACATTACACACACAAGCCATTTTGCTTTGGCAGAGGGAAAGGGCGGGTGAGATAGAGAGCTTTCCAAGCTCCTTCTGGTGAAGGGTGGGTGGGTGGGTGGGTGGGGTGCAGGTGGCCATTCTTGGAGTCCAAGCAGAGATCTCCACCCCACCCCCACCTCCTTTCACACGTTCCCCCTCTCTCTCTCTCCCTTGGTTTTCGTTTTTTTTTTGTTTTTTGTTAAAACTGCTGGATTTGCTCTTCTCTCTTTGGAGAAGTGGTGGGCGAACTAACCTTTAAGGCAGCTCCTCTTTTTTTAATGAACGCCCCCTCCCCAATCGTTCAAGCCGAGAAGGGCATGGGGAAAATGCTACTCTGTCCCCTCCAGCAACCAGAAAGGTGAGAAGATTGGGGAAAGGGGTCCAAGCCGGGGAAACACCCCCCTCTCCTCCTGTTTTCCAGTCGGGGTGCATCGCAGATGTTGGGCAGGTATGTTTCATTCATTCATGCCTTCTTTCATTCATTCATTCATTCTTCCTTTCCCCTCCTCTCTCTCTTTTCCTTTATCCAACTGCCACTGCACGTTTCCCACCCTGGGTGCTCCTGGGGTTCTGCGCCTCATTTCCAGACAAAGGGTTGGACTTGTATTTGGTGATGCTTCTGGTGGCTGGGAGCACCCCAGAAAAACAAAAAAGAAAAAAACGAGGCATGCACCCCCACTTCGCAATTGCCTCTACTGTGGGACGTTCCATCAACCCCTAGCAACAGCCATGTTTCTGGAGGCTCAGAGCCTTTCGGAGAATTTATCTGGAGAGAAGAGCACGCTTCCATTTTTTTCATGCCTGTTCTGTCTGGCCCCATGTAGCATTCGGGGTTAATTTTGGGGAGGGGGGCAGAGGGATGTGGGGGCAGAAATGATTTGAAAACCAGCCTCTTATTTCAGCGTGATGGAATGTCAAGACCATCAATCATTCATTGATCCTCTCAACAGTTGCCACTCAAAAGGCAGACGAGGGGTGGAGGGAGGGAGGCAGGAAGAAAAGAAAGGGCATTTAACCGATGTGGGAAAACCTCTTTGCTCTCTCTTGACCACTTGCTGTTTTTTTTTTTAAGCAGCTGCCAACACATTCACACACATAAACACACGAATTTGGAAATCCTGTGCCTTGGAACTTGTTTCTACCGTACATGGCAGGCATGCTTTTGCTGGCTTTTTTTGGTTAAAGTTTTCCAAAAGGCACCGGACAGAGCAAATGCAGCTGGTGATCCATCAGCTGTGATGGTTAAATGGATCCTGCATGTATAGAAGCCATATATATCAGTGAGTACAGGTGGTGGGAACAGTGCACATGGCTCAGCCTTTCTTTGTCCAAGGGCTCCTGTTGCAAACAAAATGTCAATATTACAGAGAACTAAAATGAGAGATTCTCCCCACATCGTTCTCTTCCTGCAACTGTTGTTATGGATCATTTTTTAGTGTGGGAGCTGCTTCGCTTGTCTTTGCATTGACCCTAGAGGAAAATTGATAATATTTTACAGAGGCGAGCATGGAAAGCTGAATCATGTCTACTGTCTCGTGTACCCTGTAACTAAACATCACTTGAAACTCTGCCGGGTTAACATAAATAATTAAAAAGGAAACCAAGAATCAGTGGATTGCTTTCTTGTCTCACCAAGTTTCAACTGAGATTTGGGATGGGTAGAGACTGATGTTTTTTTTTCCGCCCAAACAAGAATCTGTATCTCTAGTCACTTTCAGAATCTTCAATCTTTCACTGCTGATTCAACATTCATTTCTGTAGAGAAACAGACATGACCAACATCTGTTTCATTTGTATTTTATGTACATGAAGCGTATATTATTCCTATTATGCTGTAACCAAACTGAACTTTTTAAAGGACGAATCCAAATGAAGAGTTCTCCCTAAAACTTTGGCGAGACCGCAGCTTGGGACTCAAAACACATGGTTTGGCTGTGCTAAACCAGATGCTAAAAAATCCTCCAGCTAAGCAAGATGTCAGATTGAAGGATCAGAAAGATTCTCTCTTGGAGGATTGCTAGAATTGCTACTGCCGAATAGAGTAGCGCGCTCTCGGCCCACCTGTTCCTCTGTCAAACTATCGTCATCATTCCAGACAAGTGGCATTATGTGTGATAGGAACTGTAGTCCAACTGTTCTAGGGGACACCGCATGTACAGGGAGTCCTTGATTACGACCACAATTGGTCGAGAATTTCTGTTGCTAAGCAAAGTTGCTAAGTTGTTGAGTTGCACCTGATTTTATGACTTTTTCTGCCACAGTTGTTAACTGAATCATGCGGTTCTTAAGCGAATCCAGCTTCCCCCTATTGACTTGGTTTGTCAAAAGTGGGCTGGGAAGGTTGCAAATGGCAATCTCGTGACCCCAGGATGCTGCAATATCATATATAAATTCTGGTTCCTTGATCACAGGATAATGGAGATGCTGCGATATGTCATAAATCACTTTTTCCAGTGCCACCATAACTTTGGATGCTCGCTAAATGAATATTTGTAATTTGAGGACTACCTGTAGAAGGTTGGAATAAATAATAATCCCAATTCAGATGGGACAATGGTGATCAGACTTGGCATGCAGCAGCTTTGTTGGTCCATTGGACTTGTTGCCTCTTGGGGATCTGGATGCCGGAAGGGAGGTGTGTAGGATAATGCACATTCCCTTATCCACTAATACCCCGTCTTCATGCCACATCTTAACAGGAGCAATGGGGTCTTCTAATATGTAAGGAGAGATGGTTATGGAGTGTGCTTGCAAATCAACATTTGGGTTTTGGCCAATGAGTAGAGTTTATGTTTCTTGTCCAATCTGCCAGTGGCAAAACAACACATGAAAACCATGTGGCTTGTAGATGCAATCTATGGGTGCCAGGATTTGAAACCAGCATGGTTGGTGTTTGGAAAATTCATTTCCAAAAGTGCCTCCCCACAAGAATGTCTAGAGCAGAGGGAATCAAAAAAACGAGCAGAGAAGAGCAACAAAGATGATTAGGGGACTGGAGGATAAACCATACGAAGAACAGTTTGAGCTATTGGGAATGTCTAGTTTAATGAAAAGAAGGACTAGGGGTGATATGATAGCACTGTTCCAATATTTGAGGGGCTGCCACAAAGAAGAGGGAGTCAACCTCTTGAAGGTAGGACAAGAAGCAATGGGTGGAAACTAATCAAGGAGAGAAGCAACTTAGAACTAAGGAGAAATTTCCTGAGAAGTTAGAACAATTAATCAGTGGAACAACTTGCCTCCAGAAGTTGTAAATGCTCCAACACTGGAAGTTTTTAAGAAGATGTTGGATAACCATTTGTCTGAAGTGGTGTAGGGTTTCCTGCCTAAGCAGAGGGTTGGACTAGAAGACCTCCAAGGTCCCTTCCAACTCTGTTATTCTAAAAATTCTAAAGAGAGAAGGTTCATTTCTTTTACCTTGTTGGCAAGTAACCCAAAACCTTTGGATGAGTAGGACAGAAAGTATATTAACATGCTATGCAACTGTTCTTCAGATATGTCAACTCACTTCCCTTCTAAGGACAAATTTCATAACAGTGTGAACAATTACAGTGGAATGACTTGCCTCCAGAAATTTTGGGTGCTCCAACCCTAGAGGTTTTTAAGAAGACATTGGACAGCCATTTGTCTGAAATGGTATAGAGTTTCCTACTTGAGCAGGAGGTTGGACTAGAAGACCTCCAAGGTCCCTTCCAACTTTGTTATTCTGTTAAAGTCAAGATGACAGCCATATGATAGAACCTCTTCTTCCTTTTATGGGCAGTCCTTGACTTACGACCGACTCCAAAAAAGAGACTTGTGACCCAGTTTCAAAGTTTTACGCTCTTCTCCTGCAGTCACTTGATTGCATTTTGTGTGGTCAGCAATTGAGCTCCACAGTCACTGAGTGTGACTTACGTTTTGCTGGAAAACGGGATTTACTTCCAGATTCTGGCAAAAATTGCCCCATGGTGAGCAATGGGTTTGCTTAACGACCACGGTGTTTGCTTTATGACTGTGGCATTTGCTTAATGGCCACTGGAAAACTCATAAAATCGGATCAGGTCACATGGTGACCTGCTTTACAACCATAACGAAACAACTTCCCTTGTACAACCCTGTAATCCCTTAATTCGGGGTAGAATCGGGGTGACAGGATGGAGCTGAGCATTTACTGCCAGATGCCCTTCCTGATGCCATGCGAAGTTCACAGCAGACATTTTTTCTTTGCACCCTGAGAGAGAAACATTTGCCACAACCTAGGATTGAACTCTCAACCTTCCAAGTGGGAGGTGAGCATCTTCACCAATAGGCCACTACGCCACTCTTTCCAACCATTACTTATGACCGTGGGGCTTAATTATGATCATAGCTCAACTACCTGTATACGTGCATCCTTTGAACAGCACCTGTAAAAAAGATCAGCAGGGCTTCAGTTGCAGTCATTATCTTAACTTTATGGACATTTTCCACCATAAATGCTTGTCCCTAATCCTTAGAAATTTCAAAGACATTTTCCCTTCCTCTCCCTACTTTGCAAACTGCAACAAATGCACACACAGAGCCTCTTGCCGATAAAAATTGAGAATCTGTAGGAAGGCGTTGTAGGGCAGGAGCAGGGATGAAATTCAAATTTTTTTCCTACCGGTTCTGTGGGTGTGGCTTGGTGGGCTTGGCAGGGGAAGGATACTACAAAATCTCCATTCCCACCCCACTCCAGGGGAAGGATATTGCAAAATCTCCATTCCCACCCCACTCTGGGGCCAGCCAGAGGTGGTATTTGCCAGTTCTCCGAACTACTCAAAATTTCCGTTACCGGTTCTCCAGAACCTGTCAGAACCTGCTGGATTTCACCCCTGGGCAGGAGGATAATATAGTATGTTGATTTGGGCCTTTGTAGAATCCTACTTCAGGTTCTGTCACTTCCCATTGTAGCAGTTTCTTCCATCTATCTATAGCAGAGGTCCTCAAACTTGGCAGCTTTAAGACTTGTGGACTTCAACTCCCAGAATTCTCCAGCCAGCATAGTATAGCTGGCTGAAGAATTCTGGGAGTTGAAGTCCACAAGTCTTAAAGCTGCCAAGTTTGAGACCCCTGATCTATAGCTATATATCTTGTCTCCTAACAGAAGCTGAGCTGGGGCTTCCGTTCCCACGCCCTGCCCACCCGTTCCTATAAATCCCACTGCTGACACCATGATCTCTGCTAAGGACAAGACAAAGGCTCCCAAGGACAGCATGACGCTACTTCCCTGCTTCTACTTTGTTGAGGTAAGGACTAAAAAAAACAATTAATGGTTTCCTAATCCACCTTTCCCTGCCTCAAGAACTGGAGGAAGATGGAGGATCAGATGGCTCAAAGGTTTAAGCTGAGCATCCTAGTTTAAGGGTGAATGTTGAACCCCCCGTTTCTCTTTTCGGCTCCCAGATGTGGTGGCTCATTAGCACAGACTTGTTTTTCCAACTCTTTGCCCTGGTCCAATCTCTTTGCTTTACTTCTGGCCTCCAGTTGCCCATCGTCGCTTCCTCCATCGTGACTCTCTACTTCCTGGAGCTGACAGACCTCTTCAGGCCAGCCAAGGTGGGCTTCCAGTGTTACGACCGAGCCCTTTCCATGCCCTATGTGGAAAGCAATGAAGAAATGATTCCTTTGCTGATGCTGCTAAGCTTGGCATTTGCAGCTCCTGCAGCTTCTGTGAGTATTATTTGTTTGTTTATATTCTGCCTTTATTATTTGTATAAATAACTCAAGGTGGTGAACATGCCTAATACTCCCTCCTCATACTTTCTCAACAACAACAACAACAACAATCCTGTGAGGTGGGTTGGACTGAAAGAGTATGTTCTAATATTTGAGGGACTGCCACAGAGAGGAGTGGGTCAAGTTATTTTCAAAGGCACCCAAAGGCCAGACAAGGAATAATGGATGGAAACTGATTAAGGAGAGATTCAACCTAGAAATAAGGAGATATTTTCTGACAGTGAGAACAATCAATCAGTGGAACATAAGTTGCCTTCAGAAGTGGTGGGAGCTTCATCACTGGAGGCTTTCGAGAAGAGACTGGACTGCCATTTGTCAGAAATGGTGTAGGGGCTCCTGGGTGGGGGGGGGGGGGGGATAGACTAGATGACCTACAAGGTACCTTCCAACTCTGTTAATCTGTAAGAATCTGTAAGTGTGAGTGGCCCAAGGTTACGCAGCCAGCTTTGATGCATAACTCTGTAGAGCTCACAGTCTCCTGGGAATTGGCTCAAAGTCATGCAGCCTGTTTTCATGCCTAAGGGGGGACTAGAACTCACAGTCTCCTGGCTTCTAGGCTGGCACCTTAGCCACTACACCAAACTGCTTCTTGGACCATGGTACATTTCTCTACTCCTCTTTTATGTATTAGATTTGTAACCTGGCTTTATCTTGTACAATTCAAGATACTGTACATAATGCTCTCTCTTCCTGTGTTTTGCACAACTACAATGCGGGTAGGTTAGGTTGAGAGGGTGGGACTAGTCCAAAGGTTGACTTCCATGTTTCAGGGAGGAATACAATTCATAGTACCCTGGTTTTAGTCTAGCACAGTATTGCTCAACCTTGGCAATTTTAAGATGTGTGAGAACGTTAAGAATTCTGAGAACTCCCAGAATTCTCCAGAAAGCATATTGACTGGAGAATTCTGGGAGCTGTAGTCCACACATCTTAAAGTTGCCAAGATTGAGAAACACTGGTCTAAACACCTTAACTTGACCTCCACACTGGCCCTCGGTTCAGACATTTCATCCTATTTGCTCATTGGAAAACTTGTATCCAAAATGGCAATTTCTCTGGGGTGTCTACAGTGGAGGAAGGGATTCAAGATGGCATCTGAACCTTTGTGATCAAACTCTCACCTTGGAAGAAGACTGCCCAAATCATTAACAGCTATCTTTTTTCCCCCCATACAGTTCCCTCAGGAACACAAGGCAACCTACTCCCAACAGGGACCTTCCACATGGTTTGGGACTACAATTCCTAGTCACCATCTGGGAGTTAAAGACCCAAGGCATCTGGTAGAGAGCTGGCTGGAGGAAGGTGACATACGGATTCTGCTGGATCGATTCCCAAACCCCATTAATCCCACTGTTTCCAACAGTGACCAGCAAACGCTCACCAGATGGGCTTGAAATCAAAGAGTCCTCTGCTTAGTTTTTCTATCTAATTTGGCCCTCCGAGTTGGAATTGCTGTTCAGAAAGTCCATTTGGTTCACCAGGAAAAGCCCTCAGGCAGATCCTAAAAATCAGAAACGAGGGTTGCGCAGCAGTTCGATGAAATAGGCAACACGGGATTGAGATCATCCAAGGGCCCATCTAATTCGTCATGCTGACTGGGGAATTCTGGGAGTTAAAGTCCATCCTCAAATAGAGAGAGAGAGAGAGAGAGAGTCCAGGGCAGGCAGATGGAAGGAAGGAGCTGGCGTCTGACGCTGCTGCTTTGCTTGGCAGATCATGGTGGGCGAAGGCATCGTGTACTGCTTGCAGTCAAAGATGAAGGGCCGTAGCAATACTGAAGGCAGCATAAATGCCGGCGGTTGCAATTTCAACTCTTTTCTCCGCAGGACGGTCCGGTTTGTGGGTAAGCCTATTTCCACCCTTCCTCTTTTTTGGAGTCAAATGTCCTAATGATGCCACAACCACACCGTTGAAGCTGGCATCTTAACTTTTTTGACCACCCCAGTGTCTCTAGTTTAGGGGTGTCAAACACAAATTTCATTGAGGGCCGCATCAGGGTTGTGTTTGACCTTGGGGGGGTGGAGTGGGTGTGGCGGGGTGGGCGTGGCCAGCTCAACGTCACTCGTGTCAGGGGCGCTTGTGGTGGCTCGAGCACTCTGCCAGCAAAAACAGGCTGGCGAGCTCCGTTTTTGGCTGCGACGGCCTCCTGCAACCCTCTGCCAGTGAAAACAGAACTCGGGAGGGCCCTCCCGAGTTCCGTTTTCACTGGCAAAGGGTTGCAGGAGGCCGTCGCAGCCAAAAACGGAGCTCGCCAGCCCGTTTTCGCTGGCAGAGACATTGCGGGCCGGTCCTTCTCTGTTTCCAGGATGGCCCCATGTAGGCACCCCTGTAGGCCAGATCTGGCTCCGGGGTCTTGAATGTAGGCCCTCCTTCAACTATGTACAGGTAATCCTCAAGTAAACCGTGATTGGGACTGGAAATTCGACACCTGCTTTAACAACCTTTTTGCTGTGGCTGCTAAGTGAATCATGCAGCCATTAAATGAATCCCTCTCCCCCCCATTGATTGCTTGTCAGAAGCCTCCTAGGAAGGTGATAAATAGAGATCACATGACGCCAAGATGCTGCGATTGTCATAAATACGTACCGATTGCCAAGTGCCCAAATTTTGATCACATGACTGGGGGGACGTTGCAGTGGTCATGAGTGTGAGGACAGATCGTAAGTCAACTTTTTCAGTGCTGTTGTAACTTGGAACGGTTGTTAAGAGAATGGCCGTAAGTTGAGGACTACCTGTATCTCTGAGTCTGAGAGACAAAGTGTTGGCATACCAAGCTAGGATTACAAGGGTTTTCCCCACCCCAGCAAATTCCAAATTAAAAAAAAAGACAAAAATAGAAAATGAATACAAAGAGTCTTAACACTGCTGTTTCGAATCAACATTGGTGACCGAAAAGACACCTGTTTGCTTGTTGTCATAGAAAATCAGTGGATTCTTTTCTCAGTCAGATTAAGAATCCCTATTTATTTGATCATCAAATCAATTATTTCATTAATGATTCGGTCATCAGTAAAGCACCTTTTAGGACAAAATTCCCCCATTCCAGTAGGTCCTTCCCCCCTCCCATCAGTTTTCTCTTTTATTTTTCATTCCTAGTCCACTGGGAAATTTGCCCCTCCCCTTGTTTAAAAAAAAAAGATTGGCTTTAAAATTTAGAAGAGGTTCCTTGTAAGAAAGAGGAAATCTTGATAGAAAACTGCCATCCTTCACTTTGTGTGGTGATGGTTTGACAGACAGCTTCTGTTTTTGGAGTGGAGGCTGAAAGATGCCCTTGGTCAAAGCATCCTTCTGCTTTCTCCACCAAGGGTATGGTAATTGGCAAAGCTGTGGCTCAGTGGGTAAGACGCTGAGCTTGTCGATCGAAAGGTCGGCAGTTCAGCGGTTCGAATCCCTAGTGCTGCATAACGGGGTGAGCTCCCGTTATTTGTCCCAGCTTCTGTCAACCTAGCAGTTCGAAAGCACGTAAAAAATGCAAGTAGAAAAATAGGGACCACTTTTGGTGGGAAGGTAACAGCGTTCTGTGCGCCTTTGGCGTTTAGTCATGCCAGCCACGTGATCACAGAGGCGTCTTCGGACAACGCTGGCTCTTCAGTTTTGAAATGGAGGTGAGCACCGCCCCCTAGAGTCAGGAACGACTAGCACATATGTGCGAGGGGAACCTTTATCTTACTTTTTGAAAGCTAAGAAGAAACCTTCATATGCTCAAGGTTACTCTTTGTACCAATAGAAGAGAATATTTGTAGCTCAGGGTTTGAAGGGTGGGGGTCCTTGGTGCTCTCTGAGGGTGTCAAACTCAATTTCATTGACGGCTGCATCAGGGTTGTGTTTGACCTTGGGGGTGGGTGGACAGGGTGGTGGTGGGCAGCTTGACGTCACTCATGTCGGGGGGCGCCTGTGGCGGCCCGAGTGCTGTGCCAGCAAAAATGAGCTCCCGAGCTCCGTTTTTATCTGCGATGGCTTCCTGCAATCCTCTGCCAACGAAAACAGAACTCGGGTGGGGCACCTTTTTGCTGGCAGAGGCCCCGTGGGGCAGTCCTTCGCTGTTTCCAGGGCAGCCCCACAGGCCAGATCTAAGCATCCTTGAGTTTGACACCCCTGTTCTAGTGGGTTGTCCTGTCAGTGTTGGTGATCTTGACGTTTCTGTGGTTGGGCTGTTTACAGTTAGCACATGTCTGGGGTATTGTTTACCTCTTGATTGTTAGTTTGATGTTAATCTTGGCGTTAATCTAAGCCAGGGGTCAGTAACCTGTGGCTCTGGAGCCACATGTGGCTCTTTGGGCCCTCTGGTGTGCCTCCCTATCAGGTGATCTCAACACTGGCTGGCCCCGCCCCTCACCCTCCCCTCCCAGTCATTCCTCGCCTGGCATGAGAAGGTAAGGGCGACGGCAGGGGATGGAGAAATGGCCAGGGCAGAGACAGAGAGATAGAGAGGGAGGGAGAGGGAGGGAGGGGAGAGAGAGAGATATGTCAAAAGGATTTTGTGGTTCCTGGTGTTTTTTAACAACTGGTTCTCTGCCCTAATGACCAGCTGGATAGGCTAGGGACGTGATGGCGAACCTATGGAACGCGTGCCACAGCTCAGGCACACATGTGCATGCCGGCCAGCTGATTTTCAGGCCTTCTGGGCCCACTGGAAGTCAGCAAACAGGCCGTTTCCGGCCTCCAGAGGGCCTCCGGGGGGGAGGCTGTTTTTGCCCTCCCCAGGCTCCTAGAAAGGCTCTGGAGCCTGGGGAGGGCAAAAAAACAGGCCTACTGGGCCCATTGGGTGCGCAGGGGTGAGGCACATAGAATTATCGGTGTGGGCACATGTGCGTGCGACCCCCCGCGCTTCCCCCGCTTTTGGCACGCGATGGCAAAAAGGTTAGCCATCACTGGGCTAGGGGGTCATGTGACCGGTGGAAGTGAGTGATATTGAGTTGGCCATGCCCACCCAGGTTTTGTGGCTCCTGGTGTTTTCTTTTCTGTGGGAAATGGGCCCAAATGGCTCTTTGAATGTTTAAGGTTGCAGACCCCTGATCTAAGCTTATCTAGATGCTGATTGCTGGTGGGGGAAGTATTTTGATCTTTTTCTTCCCTTTTTGGGGGCTTGTTGATTGTCTCTTTTGCACAGCATGTACCAAAGACCCCTCCTTACTCTTGTCCTTTCATTCATTCCACTAGTGACTCCCAGGCCTTAACCTTACCTGAATTTGCTCCCCCCCTTCAGGTGTCCATGTGTTTGGCCTCTGTGCCACAGCCCTGGTGACCGATGTCATCCAATTAGCCACAGGATACCACGCCCCTTTCTTCTTGACCGTCTGTAAGCCCAACTACACTCTCTTGGCTATCTCCTGCGAGTCCAACCCTTACATCACTCAAGATATCTGCTCAGGGCAAGACCAGCATGCCATTCTCTCAGCCAGGTGAGTCCACCTACCTTTGTTTTACATCTGCTCTGGAAACCAACCTTTGCTGTCATGTGCAGTCTGGTTATTTCTAATTAAAAATTGTTATAACGTCCCTTTATATTCCGCCCAGAGTCACTCTGGATAGCCTGATGGGCGGCATATAAATTGAATGAATAAATAGGTGTCATTCCTTCAAGTTTACCTCAGTGGATCAGTTGCTATCACAACAATATTGTCAACCACAGTTTATTAGAAAATGTGCGTCAAATTTTGGGGAGAATCCAGTGGTGAAATTCAAATTTTTTTTACTACCGGTTCTGTGGGTGTGACTTGGTGGGCGTAGCTTGGTGGGCGTGGCAGGGGAAAGATACTACAAAAATCTCCATTTCCACCGCACTCCAGGGGAAGAATATTGCAAAATCTCAATTCCCACCTCACTCTGGGACCAGCCAGAGGTGGTATTTGCCGGTTCTCCGAACTACTCAAAATTTCCACTACCGGTTCTCTGAACTACTCAAGATTTCTGCTACCGGTTCTCCAGAACCTGTCAGAACCTGCTGGATTTCACCCCTGGGAGAATCTGACAGTCATTTGAAAATTTACTGTTAGAATTGTATTGTGCTTCTTTCTTGCACCTTTTTAAAGCCAGGTTTAGCCAACATCCAAGCGATAAGAGGTACTAAGATATTAAAAATAGATGTTAATGGTCCTAGTTAAGATTCCTTTCCTAAATAAACATTTTTGCAGCAGGAAACTAGCATTTAGTCCCTTGTACAGGTACTCCTCAACTTACAACCACAACAGAGCCCAAAATTTCTCTTATCAAGTGAGACATTTGTTAAGTCTTTTGCCCCATTTTATAACCTTTTTGCCTCAGTTCTTAAGTGAATCACTGCAGTTGACAAGTTAGTAACCCGATTGTTAAGTGAATCTGGCTCCCTCGTTGACTTTGCTTGTCTGAAGGTCGCAAAAAGTGAGCACATGACCCCTGTAATCGTCATCAATATGAATCAGTTGCCAAGCATCTGAATTTTGATCACATGTTCATGGGGATGCTGCAAAGGTCATAACTGTGAAAACAGTCATAAGTCATTTCTTTCAATGCTGTTGTAACTTTGAACGGTCACTAAATGAACTGTTGTAAATCAAGGACTACATGTATACTAGTTTCTGCTTGCATAGTTGGTTAATTATTATTATGACTGAGCGCCAGTAGCACAATAATCTATTTTGCTACCTATAGATTTACTGTCTCATTCTGCTGTACTTATAAAGCCAGACATATGTAGCTGGATTTTACCTGTTTTCCCCTTTGCTTTTAACTTCCCACTTAATGACCCGCATGTCTTGGGGTTATGACAACAACAGGAATTGCCTCAATTTCTGTCACTAAGCGATGCAGTTACATGTCATTATGCTTTATGACTGCATCACTTAGGGACAATCCCAGTCCCAATTGCCGCCATAACTCAAAGACTATGTTGTGTCCCGCCAGCAGCCAGAGGAGCTGGTGGCAGACTCAGACAGTGAGGAGATTGGGGAGGAACATGGGCCAATCCTGAAGGCTCTGATGAGTGCTCTGCATTGGAGGCAGAGAGGGGGCCAGGGCGTCTGACAGTTGTCAGCTGCCTTCAGAATTGGACATCAGTGGGGCAGAAGAACAGCTGGAGCCTGTTCCCAGTGTGCGCATGCGCAGAGCTGCCAGGGGAAGGGAACAGCTAAGGAACAAGAAGTAAAGCCACAGGTGGACGGTGAATGGTCCCTCCCATCCCTTCCAACTCTGTTATGTTAATCTGAATAAAGAGGAGCGAAAGGGGAGTGGAGTTTGCAGGAGACAATTAGTTTGCTTAATTGGTTCATGACTCTCATAGACATCTTGCCAAATTTTGAAGATATCAGCTTGGCAGCTCTCCAAGCCAGATAAGATCTATGACTGTAAATTCTCCCTTGAAAGACTTTGCTGGATGTGAATGAGAGGAATTCACAGTAACTTAATAAAAAGGTTTTTTTTGTCAAGACAAGGAGTCTGCTTCATGCTCTTGGGAAGCCTGGGTCAGAACAGACTACCTGAATGGGTTTAATATTGCTATTTTTTACATGATTTTGTATATATTCTATGAATGTGTCAGTTTTAATTTTTAATACGATAAATATCACTAAATATAACCCATACCCAAAAAAAAAAAGCTTTAGAGTCCGCCATAATTTTTAAAATTGGGAAGGGGTCTGGAGAGGAGAAGGGACGCAGTGGCTCAGTGGCTAAGACGCTGAGCTTGTCGATCGAAAGGTCGGTAGTTCAGCGGTTCGAATCCCTAGTGCCACGTAATGGGGTGAGCTCCCGTTACTTGTCCCAGCTTCTGCCAACCTAGCAGTTCGAAAGCACATAAAAAATGCAAGTAGAGAAATAGGGACCACCTTTGGTGGGAAGGTAACAGCGTCCTTTGGTGTTGAGTCATGCGGGCCACGTAACCACGGAGACGTCTTCGGACAGTGCTGGCTCTTCGGCTTTGAAACGGAGATGAGCACTGCCCCCTAAAGTCGGGAACGACTAGCACATATGTGCGAGGGGAACCTTTACCTTTACCTTACCTGGAGAGGAGAAAGTTTTAAGAAATGCCTAAGTGCTTCTTCCTAAGTGCAGTTTTGGTTGAACTTGTCAGTGTGTTGTGAAATTAAGGTCTCCTGACTGCAGATGGATCGTGAGTGTTTGTATAATTGTCTTTTCTTCCTTCCAGGAAAACGTTTCCTTCTCAGCATGCCACCCTGTCTGCATTTGCTGCCGTCTACGTATCTGTGAGTTTTACTTGTTAATGTCAATACCGGGAAAAAAATCAGTCTCATTAAGCATCCTGCGTGTCGTAGAATAGAGAAGTGCTATTTAAGACCAACAAGTCTCCAATAGCTGAGATGCAATTATGTTTTTAGTGCAACAGAAAGAGAAGGTCATTAAAGACATACTGGGGCATAATCATATTAACTGCAATGAACTGTAATTACATTTTAAACCTATGAAATGAAATTTCATTTTTCCCCCCTTTGCAAACAGAATGCTTCCCCTTTGCCCTTCCCTCAGCATGTCATTGGAAACAAAATCACCCCAAAATCAATATTCAGGTGATCCTGAGGGCACAGATAAACCTCCCAGTGGCCTCAATGATTCTCAGAGAGAGTGCTAACGACCAGATGACTGCTAGGAATGTAAATCCTTCCATTCTCTGCCATTCAGTCAGAACAGAAGAAGCTTCTTGGATGAGAAGCGAAACGTCTTCAAGGAAAAATGAAGCCCGGTTGCCTTTTGAAAAAAAAAACATATTTGGGCCAATCGTGTGACCTGGATGACTAAGAATTCTCTATAGACGAAATCACCCCGGAAAAACAGGCACAGCCCTAGCGTGGTCTTGAGCTCACAGCTGAGCGTCCAACTATGTTTCCCATTAGCAAAAATGGGAGGGGGGAAAGGGACTGAAACCCACCTGTTTGGGGTTTTACAGGAATCTGCAGGATGCCCATTTGAAAAAGTTCTTTTGAAAGGGAAAGTATTAGTGCTTTCATATTTTGTTAGTTGATGTCTTCATATAATCAACACTAATTAATCCAACATTCATCCTGATACAGTCAATTTCATTCTTCTGTTATAGAGGTCCCCAAACTTGGCAGCTTTAAGACTTGTGGACTTCAATTCCCAGAATTCTCCAGCCAGCTATGCTGGCTGGAGAATTCTGGGAGTTGAAGTCCACAAATCTTAAAGCTGCCAAGTTTGAAGACCTCTGTTCTGTTACAACAACAATAACAATATGGGCATTGATAAAATCACATTTAGTCAATTGCAAAAGGCAGTTTTATTCAGAACAGCTCACATTCTGCAAGGATACTTCTAACATCATCAGATGTCAACATCAGCCTATCCCAGACACTTGGGAAGGATTCTGTAGGTGAACTAAAATGCTAAATCTAGTCTAACATCTGGCTGACGGTAATTTATTAAATTCATATGCCATCTGACTTCCAGAAACTCAGTTTGTCAGTTCTCTCTCTCTGCCCATTTTGGGGTGGGTGGGGGAGTAGAGTAGGAGAAGGAAGAGGAGATTATTGAAAGGGAAGTGGATAAGGAGCCTGAGTGACGTAGGAGGCTAATGCCTCCTACTAAGGCAGCATTTAACATCCAGCTGCCTGCAATTATTGCGAGTTCAATTCTCACCAGGCTGAAGGTCGACTCAGCCTTCCATCCTTTCTAAAGTGGGTAAAATGAGGACCCGGTTTGTGGGGGCAATAAGCTGACTTTGTATAAAATATACAAAAGTATGAAGGCTATTGCTTAACGCATTGTAAGCCGCCCTGAGTCTCCGGAGAAGGGTGGCATATAAAAATAAATTTAAATAAATAAATAAATAAATAAATAAATAAATAAATAAATAAATAAATAAATAAATAAAGATAAAATCTGGGAATGGCTTACAACTGGAACCGAAAGAAACTGAAGGGTTGATTTTGCTTGCTCAAGAGCAAGCTATTCAAACGAATGGTGCCAAAGGCTAGATTTGAAAAAAGCATCGAACGATTCAAAGTTCAGATTGTGCAAAGAAGCAGAAGAAACAGTGGATCATATACTCAACTCATGCAAGAAACGGTAGCACAAACTGACCACAAGCAACTAGATAACAGTGTGGCCAAACTGACTCACTGGAACATAACAATTATTAGGTGCCAGTAAGGAAAAATTGGTAGGAGCGTATAGTTGAAAAAGTAGTAAAAAAAAAAATGCAGGTTTTTGTAGGATTTCCAAATAGCAACAGCACTTAGTCTTACATACCACTTTACAGTGCTTTTACAGCCCTCTCTAAGCGCTTTACAGAGTCAGCCTATTGCCCCCAACAATCTGGGTCCTCATTTTACTGATCTTGGATGGAAGTCAACCTTATAAGGTTTGAGTTAACTGTCGTTCAAAAGAAGAAAGTGTGGATAATTGATGTGGCAAAATCAGGGGATGTAGAACAGAAAACAAAGAATTGGAGAAGATTGTAAAATCAAAGGTGAAAAATTATGGTATAAACCAGCAGTTAAAAAACTTAGATAACATTTAGATCTGGGCATTGACAGAACGTCCATCTGTCAATTACAAAAGCCGTTCTGCTTGGATCGGCACATATACTACACCAATACATTATGACAGCCTAGGTTCTTTCGTTTGTCCATCCATCCATCCATCCATTCTGCCACATCCTTGGTTCTCAGGAAGAATGTGATGCAAATGAAGGCCAACCCCAGCTAAAGTATTGGTAGCTGTGACTTCATATTGTTGTGAAAAGATCGTAATTGATTATATTTATATGCTGCTCGGCATCGCTGTCTGATTGGGCTGTTATTGTCTCAATCACAATCCAGCGGAAAGTTCCAGGTAATAAGCGATTGGGTTGCTATATAACCGTGATGGCGAACCTATGGCACACGTGGCAGAGGTGGCACGCAGAGGCCTCTCTGTGGGCATGTGTGCCATTGCCAGCTGCTCATCTGGTTTCCGGCATGTACATGCACACCTGTCAGTTGGTCTTTGCAGGTGCCGGAGCGCCAGAAAATGCCCCCCAAAATGGCCCCAAAATGGCCCAAAAACAGGCCTGAAAAACAGCCAGAAAACGGCCCAAAAAACAGCCAAAAATGGCCAAAAAACAGGCATGCACACACTGGCCAGTTGGTCTTTGGGTTTACGGCGCTCCGGCACGCGCATGCATACGCATTCCGGTTTGGGCACTCGGTGCTGAAAAGGTTTGACATCACTGCTATATAATGTCTCTGAAACGGAATGCATAGATGACGTTAGGGAAAGAAGGGAAGAGAGAGATGCTGCCCAGGAGACAATTAGACAAGAAAGGCAGGAGCCCACAAATTGTTCAACGGTCAAAGAAAGAAACTTAGGAAGAATTCCCCCCCCAAAAATGGGTCTAGCATTTAAAAGTGGCAGGTGGGAAGTTTGTACTTTCAGACTTGTAAGAATCCGTTCATGTAGCCTTACAATAAAGTAGAAGTAGTTCATCTAATGGTGTTTCCTGTCTGGTTTACCATCTCCCTTATCATCCGCAGATGTATTTCAACTCCATAATCTCAGACAGCACCAAGCTCCTCAAGCCAATCTTGGTGTTTGGTTTCGCCATCGCGGCTGGCATCTGTGGCTTGACGCAGATCACCCAGTACCGCAGCCACCCTATTGATGTTTACGTGGGCTTCTTGATTGGTTCTGGCATTGCTGCTTACTTGGTAAGTGTCTGTCTTTCCAAGTGCCATGGGAAGAAGGGGCAGGGAACAGAAGGGCACCTGTTTACTAAAAGTAGAATAGAATAGAATGGAATGGAATGGAATAGAATAGAATAGAATATATGGAAGGGAAGGGAAGGGAAGGGAGAGAAGAGAAGAGAAAATATGGAATGGAATGGAATGGAATGGAATGGAATGGAATGAAGGGAGAAAAGAGAAGGGAAGAAAAGAGAAGAGAAGAAAAGAAAAGAGAAGAGAAAACAGAACAGAACAGAACAGAACAGAATAATATTGTCACTTCGAATGTACAGTAATCGGCATACATTAAAATGAAATTTTGTTCCATACAGCTCTCAAAGGGTCACCACCTCCAATATACACTACATAAATATGACATAAATAAAATAAATTAAATAAATAATACAAAATTATGCATATACCCACATATATTATATGACACAGAGAAACAACACAGTCTAGTTCGGATGTATACATTTACATGGCGAGAAAAACGAATCTTGCGAGTTTACCAGACGGATGGCATAGGGAACAAAGCTGTCACAGAATCTGGTAGTCCTGCTAGAAATACTTCAAAACCTCCTCCCAGAGGGGAGCAACAGAAATAGACCGTAAAGTGTGTGTGTGTGTGGGGTCACTAAGCACATAGCGCTTATAAGCAGTATCCTGAATGACAGGAACCGAGCTTCCTATAATCTCGGCTGTCCTTACCACTCTCTATATGGACCTTCTATCTGAGGCACTGCTGCCACCAAACCAAAGAGCGATGCAGTTTGTTAAAACGCTTTCGATTGTGCCTGTCTGTCATAAATTGCGGTCACATGACTTCACGGTGCTGCAAAGGGTCGTAAATGAGAGCGAAGTGCCCAAAATGGGAGGACATTAAAACTTCAAAACCAGGTCATAAGTAGCTTTTTCGGGATCTGTTATAAATTTAAGTTAGTTGAGTTAGATCTCTCCTTTGCCCCACATTATTAAGTAATATAATGTCAGGCAGGAAAGACCAGGGCCCATAAGTGAAGGTCCAATTCAACTGATTTATTGCTAAAAAGCACAGGAATCTTCTCAACTAATGATTAGCACCTGCTGTTCTGCCCCAGCTACAGACCCCAAAGAACGCTAAATTAAATCAGTCTTTTTCAAACAAAGGCTGTTAATTAACTTTCTTAACAGCCTACAAGAATCCAAAGAATAAATAATCGTAATCTTACTATGGTTGGCAGAAAGCCCAGAAGCAATTTGCAGAGAACTAAAATCAAGACGCGAAGGAGAATGAACAAAGTTGTTCCCTGCAAATTGCCTCAGTCGTCATCCTTCCTTAAATAGGCTAAGGGAGTGGCCAATTAGCCCCAAGCCTTACTTTTGAGGAGACCTCCTCCTGAGGAGCCACTCCTGCCTTTTGGCAGCTCTGCGCGCCCATGCATCGAGAAAAGGCTCCTCCTCTTCTTCCTCTTCACTTATGGGAGCTTCTGGAGGTTCTGAAGGCCCTGGCTGAATCCATGCCAGCTGCACAGGCTGCTGACGCAGCACCACACCAGCCTCCTCGCTGTCGGAATCAGCTACTAGCTGCACAGGCCGCTGACGGGCCACAACACTTGCTTGGAGTTAGATAAGGGCAGGGAGTGGGCTGCTGGAGGTTCGCAGGGGTTCGGGAGAACCTCTAGCTAAGATTCTGTACAGTTCTGAGAACCCACAAATCCCACTCCTGGCTGGCCCTGCCCACCCCACTCTGCCCCTCCCAGGAGTCCCCACGCGGCCCGTTTTGGATGCAGGTAAGTACAGGGCACACACAGAGGCTCAGGGAGGGCAGAAAACAGGTCTACCGGAAGTTTGGGAAGGCCGGAAATTGGACTGTTTCCAGCCTCCAGAGGGCCTCCAGACCCTGGGGAGGTCATGTTCGCCCTCCCAAAGGCTCGAGGAAAGCCTCTGGAGCCTGGGGAGGGCAAAAACGCCCTCCTGCCATGGTGCAGGAGGCCAATTAAGCCATGCCCACCATGGCCACGCCCACCTAGCAGCTGGGCAGAGAACCCCTTGCTAAAATTTTTGAAGCCCACTCTTGGATAAGGGTCCATGGAATTCAAGGGGAGTTAGACTGCTTAGGGAGTCTAGGCTGATCCCTCTTTTAACTCTCCCCTAGACTCTCCTATATATTTGCGGCCCGTCGGGTGCCAGGAGAGCTAGCTGCAGAGTCAAATGAGGAGGAGGTGGAGGGAGAGCCTGGGCCAGCTTCGGAGCCTTTGGAAGGCTCTGATAAGGAAACAGTATCAGAGACAGACCCGGAGCCTTTCATCCTCCCCCAGGTGGAGAGGCAGCTGTCTTCGGGGCCTGAACTGAGTGAGGGGGAGGAACAGATGGGGCCCATCCCAGATGCGCTTATGTGCAGAGAGGAGAACAGAGGAGAGCAAAGAAAAACAATAAGCCGGCTCTCAGGGAGAGGCATATGCAGACAATAGCCAGCCCCTCCCTGGCTGGAAAATAAATAGGAGGGGTTTGGGAGTGGCCAGTTGTTGCAGACAACCGTTCGTTTCTAGTATACAGCAAGCAATTCAAATTTCTTGCCTAAACCCAGGTTTGTTGGGACTAATTACATTTGATTTTTTTGTTCATCCATGTGAATAAAACACAGTTAGTGCCCAGTTATAAAAAGGGGTTTGTTTTACTCACGAGTAGAGGTCTTATCACTACTTGCGAAGGCTGGGTCAGAACATATAGTCCCAGAGAGCTATACGAAATATGTTTTACTTATATAAAATAGGGAACAGGACAATATCTATTTCCATCCATCTCTGAGCTTTTTCAGATCTTTACCCCATGTTCCTTGCTACACACAGGCCTATCACGCAGTGGGCAACTTCCGGGCACCAATAGAAAAGGCTCCCTCTCACCCTCCTGCCAAGGACGCTCTGCGAGCCCTGACTCAACGTGGGCATGACTCCGTTTATCACCAGAACAAATCAGTCAGCACCGATGAGCTCAACCCCCAGACCCGGCTGGAAGGGATGAACCGGCAAGTGTCACGTGAGAAAAACTCGCTGGGGAGCTTGAAACGGGCAAGTGTTGATGTGGACCTTTTGGCACCTCGGAGCCCTATGGGCAAAGAAAACATGGTGACCTTCAGCAACACGTTACCACGAGTCAGCACCCCCTCAATGGATGACCCTGCTCGCCGCCATATGACCATCCACGTCCCGGTGGACGCCTCCCGATCTAAACAGCTGATCACTGAATGGAAACAGAAATCAGTGGAAGGCCGTGGAATGACCTTGGCAGAAGAGGTGGCGAGGCGGGTTGCCTCAGATTCCTTGGCTGGAGAAGAGGAGGATCATATCCCACCTTCCTTGTACCCCACTGTCCAGGCTCGAACGGCTGAGCGTGCCTCTATGGGTCCTCGGGTCCTCATCCAGCCAAGACCCAGGGCCACTCAACTGGTTCACATCCCTGAGGAAAGTCAAGCGAACGCCGGTGCTAATATTTCACCCAAAAGCAGCTCGGCTGTGAGGGCCAAGTGGATGATGATGGCTGAGAAGGGGGCCGCCCAACGAGTGGCCAACCCACCGCGCCTCATGCAGGTAATTGCCATGTCCAAGCAACCCGGGATGGTATCGGTGACACCCAAGCATTCAGAGACATCTTCGTCCTCCACCAGCTCTGACTCCTCCCAGTACTGCTCTCCCTCAGAAAGAGACAGCTCTAGCGTGGTTACCATCGATGCTCATGCCCCTCACCACCCAGTCGTACATCTGTCTTCTGGAAATGGCCCTTGGGAATGGAAGGCCACCCAGAAAGTTTCGGATAGCCAAGATGCTTACGAGCTCAACGAGATGAGCAAAGATTACCATGGATTCCGGCCTGCCAAAAGCGCTGGAGTCTCACCGGGTTCCTCTGTCAGCGACATTGAACAGGAGGAGGCCCGTTACGGCAGCGTGGCCACCATCAATGTGTCAGTGGGTCTGGGAGGGAGTGCATCGTTGATTTCAGCAGAAACCAGCCCCGGAGAAAGTCTTCTGGGAGCCTCCAGCCGGGAATCCACGCTGAGGAGAAAACCAGCTAGCTTAACGGTGGGGGAAAAGGACGGGCAAGCAGAAGAGACGGAAAACTATTATAAGAAGATGCAAGCTAACCGGGGATTTAAGGAGTAATCCCACCACCTACCTCTCTGGTCACTGCTTACCTTGGACCAAACTATGATTAAAATTGTGACTTTTTTTTTCAAGCAAGCGTTGAATTTCAGATGGTGGGACTTCATAATGATTATATTCAAAAACCGAGGTAAAATCATCCGTTTTACCTGGTGCCACAGTCATTCAAAGGACTGAATATACATTCACAATAATGATGGCGTAAAGAGTCTCCCGAAGGGCCCAAACTTCTAGGATTCACAAAATGGAAGACATTTTTTAAACAGAGAAGGTTTGGATCAAGTCACCTTTGGGATTATTTTACCTTCTGCGGTGCTAGGAGAGGATACTGTTGAAGAATCCTTGGCTGGATTTTCCAGAGGATTTACAAACAAACAAAAATGAGGACCCAGTTTGTGGGGGCAATAAGCTGACTTTGTATAAATATACAAAAGTATGAAGGCTATTGCTTAACGCATTGTAAGCCACCCTGAGTCTCCGGAGAAGGGCGGCATATAAATCAAATCAAAAACAAACAAACAAACAAAAAACACAAATGTAGGTGGTATTAAAATAATCAAGGATTATTCCTAACTAGCGATTGTAACGATAACAAGAGTGAGAAGGTCAGAATGGAACAATCCAGTCTGGATTTATTTGGGGTGTCCTCCTCAGCAGTGCCAGTTGGATATATAACCCAGCCTTTCCCAACCTGATGCCTTTCAGAATGGTTGGATTTTCAAACTTGTCCTTTGGTGAGCCCTTGCTTGGGAAGCCTGAGGTCAAATTCCCCCTCTTCCCCCCCCCAGGAATCTGTATATGTATGTGGGGAGGTTGTAGTACTAAAGATGGGGTAAAGTGTTACAAAGGGGTGGGAGAATGTACCTCTAAAAGTTCTGAGATGTTTTGGAACAGTGTTTCTCAAACCTGGCAACTTGAGATATAGGTGGACTTCAATTTCCAGAATTCCTCATCTTTGAATAGATGGGAAAGATAGGTGGACTTCAACGCCCATGAATTCTGGGAGTTGAAGTCATACCTTTTAAAAATATATAGACATATATTGATTTTTTTTTAAAAAAAGAAACAATAATAAAAGACAATACAAACTAAACCCAGAAAGGAAAAGAAAAATAAGTAGAAAAGAAGAAAAAAAGGAAAGGGGGGGGGCGAGAAAATATTTAAAGAAGTGATTTTTGATTGTTCATCACATTTACAAAGTTAGTCATTCTTCATCTCTTATAAGGTATATGCAAGTATATTTTCTTTCCATAGCTGATCCCTTACTTGTATTCAGATTCATAAATTATTAACATTTCAGTCCTAGTAACAACAAAAAGTTAATAAAGGGTTCCGGTAACTATATAGAAAAACATCTTAGTTTAACCTTGGTCAAACAAACCAACGTTGTATTCCTTTGCTTGTAGCAATCTTGAATTCATTCAGATGTTGTCGTAAGGTATCATCTCTCTTCAGTTTTCCCATCTCAAAGGCTCCTTTGAAGCTTTAGCAAACCTCTTTTGTAAAACCAGTAAGGACATTCTTTTGGCGTATCATTTTCTTTATTTACACAGTATCTGAATGAATTCAGGATTGTTAGAAGTAAAAAGGAGTACATGGTCGGTTTCTTTGATCAGGATTAAAATAAGACATATATTTTCACTTTTACTGTCATCTCTATTTTATAATCCATCTCCCAATATTTCTTGGAGTAATTCAAATATCATGCAATTTTCTGCCATTTGTCTTAGTGACAACCTAAACTGTCTCAGAGGGCTCAAACTTGGAGGAAACTGCTATAACAATAACAGTAGCACTTAGGTTTATATACCGCTTCATAGTGCTTTACAGCCCTCTCTAAGCGGTTTACAGAGTCAGCATATTGCCCCAAACAGTCTGCGTCCTCATTTTATCAAGCTCAGAAGGATGGAAGGCTGAGTCAACCTTGCTATCCTGCAGTCTTCTTAGGAGGAGGAACCATCCAGAGTATAAGTGAGCAATTTCCTGTCCTCTCCATGTTCAGAGAGGTTCTATGAGACCAGTCTACTCACTATTCTCTCAGTCATGGCTGCAACGTCATTTCCACTTGCTCAGAGACATGCTAGCTGACCATTCGTCACTCAGAAGTCAAAGTCTACGCATGTTGCCAAGTTTGAGAAACACTGCTTTAGAGAGAGAGATTTTTTTTCATTCAAGACTAAACTGGAAATCTGTAAATATCAAAATGTTTGAAAGTGAAGAGAGAAGAGGATGGAAGTAAAACAAAGTTGTCACAAGCATTTTGGAGAATGTAATTTGGCTGTATTTGTCCTTGTGTCATACACAAGAATAGGTCATATACGAGGCAGTGGAATAGTCCCTAAGTATAGTCACGGTAAAGATTAGACAACTCTTAGTGAGTTTAAGAATATTGCCCATCACTATCAAAAGTATTTTCGGAAGCCCACTGAGCTTACAATATCTGCTTAGCTTCAAAGAACCACAGAAAAACATGTAAAACGCTTTGGGACAGAAGGAAATATTCACATAATTCAGTATCCATTTTAGGATCATTCCTCCATCCCATAGCACCTGAGATGTCAAGAGATGTTAAATATAATCATAGAGTTTACATATTTAACTTGAAGTATAATTGTCAAGAGGAATGTTTCTCAACCTTGGTAACATGAAGATAGGTGGACTTCTAACTCCCAAAATTCTCCATGCTGGCTGGAAAATTCTGGGAGTTGAAGTCCACTTATCCTCATGTTGCTAAGTTTGAGAGACACTGGTCAAGAGGCTGAATTCTTTGCACAAAGCCTTACAGGCACTTAAACTGAAGGATCTAATGCCCCTGATGTCAAATCAAGTTAGAAATATAAACCGTGTTGGACAGGCGTGAAATTTTAGACCCTATCTACCCTTGAAGAGGCATTTCTCAAAAATGATAGTTATTTCACAGAATTTAGTGGGAAATTTTGGATCTGTTTTACTGCATCTTCATCATTTTGAGCAGTGGTTCTCAACCTTCCTAATACAGTTAATACAGTTCCTCATGTTGTGACCCCCCCAACCATAAAATTATTCCTAAAACCATTGAAAATATGTGTTTTCCGATGGTCTTAGGCGACCCCTGTGAAAGGGTCGTTCGACCCCCAAAGGGGTCGCGACCCACAGGTTGAGAACCACTGATTTTGAGGATGGAGTGAGGAACATGATCAGGATTTCTTCAAAGCAGGGATGGAAACAATGTAAAACAGCAGTTGTCCAATACCTAAAAAGCTGACCCCTAGACTGTAGGGCAGAGGTCTTCAAACTTGGCAGCTTTAAGACTTGTGGACTTCAACTCCCAGAATTCTCCAGCCAGCTATGCTGGCTGGAGAATTCTAGGAGTTGAAGTCCACAAGTCTTAAAGCTGCCAAGTTTGAAGGCCCCTGCTGTAGGGCAACCCTTTACTCTGTTGTTTTGAGAGCATGGATGAAAACTAGTGAGTGGCTATCAGTTAAATATTAGAGAAACTTCCTAACAGTAGGAAATGCTCAGCAGCAGAACCGCCTATCTTACAAGGGGAGGAAACTTTTCTTGCAGGAGGTATTTAATGGAAAGTGCCCCTTGTTAGAGCGAAATGAATTTATTCTGGCAAAATAGAATTTGGGTTCCCACTTTTTGTATTTAGTGCATTTGAAGGATCTAATCGCATTCAAATCAAATGAGGGCTTATTTCAGGCTGAGTGTTACTGAGATGTTGAAATCGTTTCTCACCCAGACCACTTTTGAGAGTGTCTTGCAATCATAGAACCACAACTGAATGAGGAAAGATATCTAGATACATTTAGCAGGATTAATCTATACTGGAGGAGGGCTAGTGGGATTCAGTGGGGTTTTCTTTGCCTAATCACCCCCTTTCAGATATAGGTCTTCTGTTTTTCATGAGACTCACTAGAAGAGTCGACCCAAACCAAGATCCAAGATGGCAGCTTCTCTCTTCCTGTGGATTTTGCTCACGTTTTCCATTTGTGTGATGATGCCTTGAGGGAATTCAATTTATCTCCGTAGCAACTGTGACAGGTAAAGGTTCTTTTAAGGGAATGTTGGCATGAATCAAAGGTTTTATCTAGAAGGAGGGCAATATATATAACCATATAACCGTATGGTTTGGTGGGTGGGTTTGGGGGGAATAAGCCTTCCATTGAGGAAGTAAGAATGCTTAGATAGTGGTATTCGTTAGTGAAAGGGGAAGCATGAGGGAACAAGGTTGAGTTAGAAATTCATGGTGTTTTCGGGTTTCACCAATACAAGTCCTTGGTTTCTCCATGCCAGGATGTATTAAGATATTACAAAAGCCAGCTGTAAGCCAGGTACCTAAAAGCTGTCAATGATTTAAATATGTTTGGAACCCTGTTATTTCAATTAAAATTTGTAACTATGATTCCCCTCCAAAGTTGTAAGTGTGTGCTTGGGCACTGAAAAACAGAATAAAGAACCCATTTGTCAGTGTCTGTTGATCCCGGGTTAAGAAGGATCTGGCCAATGCAGGCGTGGCAATGGCTGGAAGTTTGAGGAGCAGTTGTAAGTCCTTTCAGTGCCATCATCACTTTGAATAGTTGCTGAATAGATGGTCGTAATTCGAGGACTCCCTGTAGATACCAGGTCAGATCAGGACAATAGTCCTGCTCATCAAGGTGAGAACAAACCTAGAGCTAAGGAGAGATTTCCTGACAGAACAATTAATCAGTGGAGTGACTTGCCACCACAAGTTCTTGGTGCTCCAACACTGGAAGTTTTTAAGAAGAGATTGGACAACCATTTGCCTGAAATGATATAGCTGTTTCAAGTAACACCCCCAACCTCTGAAGTAGGCATTTCCTCAAAGTTCCATTTTATTAGAGATGTCATATTGGCACATCTGGGAAAACCCGAATCTGAAATCTCCTGGGTTTTCCCCATCCAAAGGAAGGTCAGAGACCCTTCCCCTGCACCACGTGTCCATCACATGGTCCAATCAGGTCACCCTCCTAACTCGAGTTGCTTCCCAGTCAACGCCTCTCCAGGTGCACGCTCAACGTCCTTGAAACTCCCAGGGAAGGAAGGTTGTTATGGCTATACATCACACCCCGTCGCCATCCAACCCTCCTGCCAGTTCCCACAGCATGCCCGTCCACCAAGTGTGGCAGCCCTGAAGATCCAAAGAAAAAGACGGCCTCCAGGGCTGACAATAGCCGTGATGGTGAACCTATGGCACATGTGCCAGAGGTGGCATGCAGAGCCCTCTCTGTGGGCATGTGTGCTGTCGCCAGCTGCTCTTCTGTTTTCCAGTGCACATATGCGCACCGGCCAGCTGATCTTCATGCGTGCCAGAGCCCCAGAAACCGAAAGACTAGCTGGCTGGCACGTCCAGCTTCGGTTGGGCTTCGGGTTTCTGGTGCTCTGTTCTGCCCCAGCTATGGACCCCAAAGAACGCAGCACACACAAAGTCTGTACAAACCTTAGTTTACTAAAATAAAATCAGTTTTTCAAACAAAAGGCTGTTAATTAACTTTCTTAACAGCCTGCAAGAATCCAAAGAATAAATAATCTTAATCTTACTATGGTTGGCAGAAAGCCCAGAAGCAATTTGCAGAAAACTAAGATCAAGGCACAAAGGAGAGTGAACGGTTGATCCCTGCAAATTGCTTCAGTCGGCGTTCCTCCTTAAATAGGCTAAGGGAGTGACCAATTAGCCCCAAGCCTTACTCTCGAGGAGATCTCGTCCTGAGGAGCCACTCCTGCCTTTTGGCAGCTCTGTGCACCCGTGCATCGAGAAGAGGCTCCTCCTCTTCATCCTCTTCACTTAAAAGGAGCTTCTGGAGGTTCTGAAGGCCCTGGCTGAATCCCCGCCTCTGGCACCACATCTTCTCCAGCCTCCTCATTGTCCGACTCGAGTGCCAGCTGCACAGGCTGCGGGCACAGCACCACACCAGCCTCCTTGCTGTCCGTATCAGCCACCAGCTGCACAGGCTGCTGATGGGCCACAACACGCTCTGGCACACACGAAGACCAGCTGGCATGCTGGAAAGCAGAAGACCTGGTGGCTGGCACATGCATGTGCGCCAGCCAGCTGGTCTTCGAGTTTCTGGGGCTCCGGCATGCCCACGCGCACATGTGCACGCACATGCATTCTGGTTTGGGCACTCAGTGCCGAAAAGGTTCGCCATCACTGATATAGGGTGTCCTGCTTGGGCAGAGGGTTGGACTAGAAGACCTCTTAAGACCTCCCTTCCAACTCTGGAACCAATCAACCAACCTCCAGCTCTATTGTAATGTTTCTCAACCCTAGCAGAAGGAACAGAAAATAAGATGATATGCTGGCTGGGGAATTCTGTCCATCCATCTTAAAGTTGCCAAGGTTGAAAACCACTGCATCTTATTTTCTGTTTCTTGCTCCAGGCTTTGTTGCTGCTATGACCAGTCCTTTATTGGCTTCTTCTTGGCAGCCTACTTGACTTGCCAGATGGTGATGGAATACATTTTCCCCCCCTTTGGAAATATCAACAGAAGTGAAAACGTTAAGACCTAGCTGGAGCTTTGTAGGATGCACTGCTGTGCAGTTATACCCACCTGACTAAACATTATAGGGGGGAGGAAAGAGAGAAAGGATGTTATGTAGTCCCACTGGATCTGGCAGACAATGTCAGCACTGACACTGCAGCTGGTTCCTGCCACCACCAATCTTGGCATCTGCTATTTCTGTCTCTGGCAGTTTTTAATGAGAGATGTCAGGCTTTGAGACTTGAAATGGGGTGGGGGGGGCTGGTATCCATAATGAAACAAGTAAGGAAATGAGGCCAAGCGATCTTTTTGGGTAGCATAATGCAGAGGGTTTTGTTTTTTTTCAAACTTCAAGTTGAAAAAGTGCCCAAAACTTCTGATCAGGAGGAAAAGTTCTAATTGTAGAAAAAGGCTTGCATTCATCCTGATGAACCCAGTCAAATTCTGCAAGAATTCTGCCGTAGATGGAGCAGATCTGGTGCAGCCGTTCCTATTTTGACGCAACAGGAAAGCCCTTTCAGTGTTCTGTGGTGTCTTCATCACAACTTGAGTGATGAATTCTATCATCCCTACTATAGAGAGCTTGTAGAATTGACCATCATGGTGAAAGAGATGAATGTTCTGTCCCCGTCTCACACACGCACCCCCACAGACAGGCAACAGTTAAAGAACTCAGCCGACAACAGTTTATCCGGTATCAGAATTGGCAGCAACCCAGTGGCTGGCTGCCAGGTATTCTTTACTCACGAGGGGGGAGTTTCTCCCTTCGTCCTTTGAACAAAGCCAATACACAATAATCAACAAAGTCCAGTAAATTCAAAGAAGGTCGTCCGATATCCGTTTTTTGCTTGTCACAGAGCTGAACCGGCCACCACACCCTCTTTTATACCCTGTGGGGTGTGGTCCAGTGACTCAGCCTAATCCCTGGCACGCCTCTTTTTCTGCTGCGCGCGCTTATCTCTGCGACGCTGCCGAGGGTCCAGCCAAGACTCATCTACCTCATTACTGTCCACCTGTGGCTGCGTGGACGTGCTTGGCCCCGGGCCTATCTCTTGATCTTCGGAGGACACCGAAGGCATTGCCAGAGAGGAGGGTCCTAGAGAGGGAGGCCTTGCCAACTCCTCTCCTTCACTCTCGGAGTCATCTCCTGCCGATAACACAGGCTCAGGTAACGGAGCCACAACAATGAATTCTTGGATAGAGACAAAGGATATCCAACACAATGGCCAGAGATCTGCTTTGGAAGCAATGGACTCGCTCAACCTAGGCCTCAGGATGACCTTGCTATCCAATTTATTACTTATTTATTTATAAAATTTATAAGCTGCCCCTCTTACCTCAAGATAACTCAATTGAAAAATCCTATTGCACAGAAATTTTGATTTATTTTTATCCTGTCTTTATTTTTATAAATAACTCAAGGTGGTGAACATACATAATACTCCTTTCTCCTCCTAGTTTCCCCAAAACATCAACCCTATGAGATGGGTTGGGCTGAGAGTGAGTGACTGGGCCTAAGGTCACCCAGCCAACTTACGTGCCTAAGGTGTGACTAGAAGTCACAGTCCCCTAGTGATTGGCCTAAAGCCACCTAGCCAGTTTTCATGCCTAAAACAAAAGTGGGACTGGAACTCAAAGTCTCCTGGTGATAGGCCCAAGTCACCCAGCTGGCTCTCATGCCTAAGGCAGAACTAGAACTCAGTCCCTTGGTTTCTAGCCTGGTGCCTTAACCACGGGACAAAACTGCCTCGTGTAAGTCCCACAGAGATGCTTCAAGTAGACTTCCTCAAGTGTGGAGAATTGTGTT